TAGGTTGCTCGTTGTACTATGCCCACCCATTTGGAATTTTCTAGCCACATTGGTACAAGAGAGCATTTTATAGGTTGCTCCAATAATTAGGAGTGAGCGATTCCAAGGTCATTCCATGTTTCACTTGGAACCTACCCTATCGAAATCAGTTCCTTAGTTTTTTGAATTTGGAACCTACCTTGTTAATCGGTTCTAGGGTCTGTCCTAGGGTCTACCCAGGAACCTTCCAATTTTTTCTGTTTAATTCTCTTTTTCCTTTTTGTTTCATTTTCTCCAAACAAGCACAAATGAATCTGGTTTGGCGCTACAGCATCAAATAAATGCCACCTTGGCCTGCATTGTTGCATGAGCAATTGACAGTGACATCTATTAAGCATTTGCATCTGAATTACCAGTTCGAGAAATATTGCCCTCAGCAGTTTAGAAAATCCAATATTCTTGAATCCCAATACTATAATCCCTGTCCTACTATAGATAAAATGATATTCTTGAAGCTGGCAATTTTCTTTGACACTCCGGCAAAACATTCGAAATGTGTCAATGGCCTACAACTTTCAACAATGGCATGCATATAGAATACCGATTCTATACTTCAAAAGGTTGATTGAGCATGCAAGATATAGGTAGTCTCCTGACATAGAAAAGTGATAGTTCTTAAGGACTAATACCCAACCAATATGAACAGACAATCAAAAGGAGTATATTAAAGGGATTCAACATGCTACAACAGCAGCTAGGTATTTCATTAATGAAATTATTGGTCAGGTTCGTACTCAGGATCCGAACCGTATATTACATATTCCTAGAAATATGGAACCAAGAACTAGACCAAACCCACTAGTTTACTAGACCAGTTCTCGGTTCTCGATTCTATCATAGAACCATGATCACCCTTATTAATAATGTTCTGCTTATCAACTTTACAACTCGTTGTGGTTCACTGACGTTAGTGCAGTGTCCCATTATGCCTTTATTCATGCATAATTCGTTTAATAGCTTCGAATAGAACTCCATGCTATCGTCTTACCAGTCTCATTTACCATCAAAGCTTTCAAATGCCTAATGCTGGAAATAGTATTAAAATTTTGCCTTTGCATAAACACCAGGTCTTTCTCGAGTAGTCATCAACGAATTGTTAGCATAAATCTTGCACTATTCCTCGAAATAAATCATGACAGCTTGCAAACATACAAGTGAATCAACTTTGCAACTTTCGTGGTTTCTCTGGTAGTCGTATTGAAGTGCACTTTTTGCTATTTGCCTAAGTCACGGCACTAGTCACAGCACCTATGTACACACATAGCATATTACTTACACTCATAACCTTCAAACTTCTCTTGCCAATGTGCCCTAAATGCATATGCCGCAATTATGAGTCTCGAATAAATGCATCTGATATCTTTGCAGCAAAATCTGTAATCTTCCCCCCTTAAAGCTCGTACATGCCACGCGTTTGACTTCTCTCATACCATGGCACCTTAAACGATCCTCAAACTCCGTCTTCTAAAGCATACTAACACTCAGTTGAATTTAGGGAACTCAAGGAAATTAGGTTCTTCTCCAATTTTCGGAACATAGCTCACTCAGCTGAAGGCGATCTCTTCCAAGATGCCCACTCTTATCACAATTCCCACAAACAACATCATTGGTCGTAGATTGACTTATTCTATTCAAGTTCATAGAACATTTGCTAATACGAGTACTAGTTTTTCCTCTAGCTTCACCTACTAAACTAGCAGGTATAAATTCACCATATTCTCTCTTACAAATGTCATCACTCAAAATCAAATTGCCAACCTCGTCAAACGTCAAGCTCATTGACCTAGAGGAATTACTAACAACAATAATAGTAGCATTTCAACTATCAGACAATTAGGACAATAGAATTAAAACACATACCACATTATCAAAGTCAATTTAACCGAACTCAATTGACTAACAATCACATTGAATTCATTAATATGTTCAGCAGCCGACACACATTCACCCATCTTTATGTGAAATAAATATCACATCAATTAAACCTTTTTAATTGCAAAGATCTTCTCGTACGTGTTGGACAAAGCATTCATCAGTCCCACAGTGATCTTCTTTATTTCTATGTTAAACACGACGTTAAGAGTCAATATCAACCGAATAACACCCACAACTTGTCTATCCAGCAAATCCCAATCAGTTTGCTTCGCCGATTCTAGCTTCTTCCGTTTGTGCAGATTTCTCTAGATCGTCAATATGTATCCTCTAGAAACCAAAATATTTCTTTTCACTCAAGTTGATTGTTACTTTTCTTTCTTCTGTTGACATCGATTCGCTTCAAGTCAACTAAGCCTGACTCCAATACTAATAGTTTCTAAAAATAGGCGATAAAAAAATACAATAAATATAACAAAGGAATAAATCAAACATAAAGTTTAATTGATGGGACCTACTCCATGGGGAGAGTAACACAATATTCCATTATAGATTAAGTAATCAACAAAGATTACAACCACACTCGAGTAATTTAAATACTCTTGACTTTTTCTAGTCCCCAATTACGGGGGCGTTTGGCTCGACTTTGCCAAAGCCCTTTGGGGCCTTAAAGGCCATTGGGCAAATGCAAATGGTGTTTGACAAAATTTTTGGAAAATTTTGGGGAAATGCAATTGCATCTACAAAGCTCTCCAAAGGACTTTAATAATTTTTTTTAGTCCACCCTTGTACTGTACATTTTCCCCGCGGTTTGCACAAAGGAGTTGGACGGAGGCCGGCGATCGCCAATTGGAGATCCCACAACCTTAGGCGACGGTTGTCTGAGATTGTCACCTGGGCTCACGCGATCTTAATTGACACCTGAGGTCACGGGACCTTAGGCGCCTCATCTGGGTTATATCGAACACTCAAAACAAATATCATAGATTACTGAATATAAAATTGTTTGCTGCGAATTTAATTTCAGTAAGATTAACGTCATTTTACAGCATAAGGGATAAAAGTTAGAAAGCAAATAATTCATCCCCCGGATTGCCAAAATCTCACTTTGATAATAAAAAGAAGACAAGCAGCATCAATCAATCAAAAGAAAGTCATCAAAACAATAATCAAAATAAAAGGGGCCCCAAAAAGAGGTAAGAAAGCGACAAAACAAAAAGGCATGAAAGCCCAAGAGCCTCTCTTTTCAGAATCAGATCTTATTGGATTTTCCATGTACTTTTTTAAACTTATAATTATTATTTTATTTTATTTTATTTGTTCAGCATCGCAGCATAGCATAATCTACACACCTCCAGCAAGAAAAAGGCAACACGAGTTGAGATTATGATAGGGGGACCACCCCCGCCACATGCCTCGCCGGCCGACACGTGTCGACCTGCACATGCTGATTGTTTGGGACAGTTTGATTTCTGATTTGATTAATTAGAGAGTATCGGATTTGAGATTTCCCCTTTTATATAAAATTAGGAGGAAAGTGGGTGGGACGAAGCTGTCCGTGGAGAGAGGGTCATGCATTTTGATTGATTTTCCCATTCGATTCTCCATTATTTTGCAATGTATAATCATTCATTTGATTTGATTATGTTGATTTAATTGCAACTAGGAGTAAGTTGCTTGTTTTTCCTCGAAAACTGAGTGTATACATACATAATGACAAATCGAATCAGGCTTATGTGGCCTGTATATGGTTGTGAACCGGACCCATTGAATATATATCGATGGCTTATTGGCATTTGAAGGTCATGTCCTTTGTTCCAAGTTGGAGTTAAATCTCCTCTGGCCATATCTCTAATTGGAGAATTGCATATATGTGTGTCTGTGTGAGTGAGTGACTCTCATCATTTGTATTGCAATATGGATGCGGGAAATTTCCTCCGACCCACCACTGGATAGAGGAAAATATTGCCCTTCATTAATACATTATAAGCGATCCAAAACCGTATCCATACTAAACCAAATCAATCAAAATAACTCACGTTTATACAGTTAATTTATCAAGTCGCCATCGCCATAGCTCCTCCACCACTCACGCATAAATTCTCTCCACTCACGAAAGAGTCTCTTTCGTAGCCGAAATTCAATATTGCCGCAGATGGCAAAACCGATTGCCCGTCTTCTTCTTAGCCTAAACGTTATAGTCGGAATCAAAACCTATCACAAGATAAGGATATTCAAAAGATTATGAAACGAGGATTGAGATTTCGATCTTGATCTCTATCGCGAAATCCTTTAGAGAAACTTTCACTTTTCTTCCTAATATCTTGTGAGAGGGACAACCGTCGTACAAGCATCAAGAACAAATGTTTCAACGATGCAAACCCAAAAGAAACCTTAGTTCAGGCTAAAGCAAGAATGAAGTGATATAATACAGATGAACAACAAATTGGGTCTGATTGGCAAAGCTAAAATAGGCTACATCTTGAAATGTGACTCAAGAAACGTCCAAAAATGGCGAGTTTTGAGAGTCAGGATGATCTCAAAAGGTTATGTATAAGCTTCGTGATTTGTAACCGAATGCCATTTCTTGAATTCGAAGTCACATGACATTCGAGCGAGGGGGCGCAAATTTCTTGCCTGCGACCCCATCCATGGATGTCTCTTGATCCGGTTGCCGGCAACATAACCGTAATAACCTTCTGTCAAGTGTTAGGATAAAAACCTATGTATTGGATCAGTAAGTGAAGATACAAGAAAAAATAAAAGCTGTGGGGGTCTGTGCACTGAATTGACAGCAAGTACAGGAAACGAGGGATCATAGCGAAGGAAAGAAACGAGAAAAGAAATGGTTGGAGGGACAAATTCTGCAGAACATAGTAGCTGCATTTGTATGAGCATGAGATGGGAAGTCATGGGAGACCATCTGACAGCAGATTTTTGGCTAAACCCCGACGTTGAAAAGAATCTGACCACATACTTTTCTTTAAAGTGGGAAGGAGACAATGAGGGGAGAGGGAGAGGGAGAGAGAGAGACACACACTATATGCTTATCTTTTTTTGAGTGGGTCATGTTTAAAACAACAAACAACGCCAAGTACTCTTGTTTGTTGCTTATCGGAAGTAGAACTCCACTCTCTGTCGCTTAGTGCCTCTTCTCTCTCTCTTTCTCTTTCTCTCTCTACCCACCATTGTTTAGCTCTTGAGGAACTGGAGAGCCCAAAAATCAACCAATGGTTATTCGAGTGTCATCTGCTTTTTCTCTGACAACTCCCCTGACTTTCCCCATCTCTCCATAATTATTGCTCTTATACACCCCCCTCCCTCTCTGTCTCTCTCTCCTCTCTCACACCCACGCTGAGCGAAACACTGATGATAGTTGGAATTCCATTTATTCTCCATCCCTTCCCTACCCACTCCATTTGTGGTATAAACTAAGACAAACCCACAAGCATACCTTGTTCTTTCTGAATTGGTGACACTGTCTCTCTTTTAAGGTGCCTTCTCTTTCTCTCCCAGTGCTCTTTCACCCTGAAGAATCGACTCCAACTCAAAGAAAAACTAGGAATGCCATGGTTTGTCGCTGCAGGTACACTTTTCATTCTTTTACCATCTTTTAATTGCTCTCTGATATAGCCCTTGGTTCTTTCTCTTTTCTCTTCCGTGGGTGTATTTTCATGCTTAGCCTAATTCTCTTGTCCTCCTATGTCTTCCTTTCTTGTGGTGGAATTGTTGGTTTTTCCAGTTAAAGGGTACTTGCATGTACTTTTGCTTATCAAATCTGGATCTCCCTTGCTTTCTGCTGCGGGGATGCTTGCTTTTCTCCAATTATTCTTTCTGAGTTCTTTTTCTGTCACAATTTAAAGATTTAAGACTTGAGTTGTTAGATGTTAGTAAAACTTGTGGGAACCTGATAACAACTGCAGAGAATTTTTGAAGTAGGATTATTCATTCAGATCAGAACAGAATGCCCAAAGTTCTTCAGCCCTTACCATCACTGATCAAAGAGATGATTTTGATGTACAACAATGAGATACCCCGGTGCATTTTAGGAAAATTCACTACAGAGAACCATTCTAACCTTTACAGGTGCCAGGAGAAATTTTTTTTTTCAGGTATATCTTTCAGGACCTTTTTCCCCTTTTTGAAATAAAAATGGCCTGCCAAGAACTGACTAGGTTTTGCTTCAAAAAAAAGAAATAAAAACAAGGACTGACTAGGCCAGATTTTCTTTCCAATGAGGTATTCAATGTCTAGATCGTGGTTGTTTAGGAGAACTCCAATATTTTATATGTATTGGTGATGATAAAGTACTTGGTTATGTTGAAATTGCAGTTTCTCCAATTACCGAGGCAAATTTAGAAGACAATTACTATTCTTGTTTTTTCAGATGATCATACCAGATTAGTTGGCAATTAAATTGCAGTGTTAGGTTACTGATGCGATGTGCTTTGAGATCGCTTCGTTTCTCTCTGCAGCAGTACATCGTTTACTTTGAGTAATTCAAAAAGTTGTCTTCATTCATGGTTTATTTGTTTTTAAATTGCTCCACTTTGGTTAAGTTGGTTGTTACTTTAAAGACCTAAGATTTAGACCAAAAAGTATAGACCTTCAACCATCATATGGAAGAGCAAGCCCAGCTAGAGTGGAGCCCCCAATTCTGTTCACCCCCCTTTGGATGGTCCAAATATTGGGTTTCTGCTTCGTTCATATGTTTGTTTGCGGTGATAGTTTTAGGAAGTCCTATTCATCCATTTGCAATGGTGCATTGGAAAACCCAGTGACTTTTTTTCTCTGAAAAAAGGGAAATATAATTGAATATGAGACCAACCACAAGGCCAAGCCATATCTCCCGACTTTTTTCACCAAACTATAAGATGTGATGCACATAAATACATGTATGTGTGGACATCAGGAAAATGGTGGCGAGGGCTATTCTGTGGCGTTGGTTGAGCTTCTACTTCACTTTTTGCGATAGCTTCATTTATATCTCTTGAGGTTAAGTCTTGGTGTAGATCTTGAGGTGATGCAAAGATCAACTTGAGTAATGTAAATCTCTGATTTCTTTGAGGAGTTAGAAACATTAATGTGGTAGCTGTAGCATGTAGCACAATTCTCCATGTACGAGTTCTTGGTAAAAAAATCTAATTCAACACTTTTGTTTCCCACATTTTCCTTGGGTTTGACAATTATGCTAATTGTTTGTTATTTTTTCTATCTTTTGTTGGAACTTGTTGATTATATTCACTCGCAATGCTTGTTGGTCTAACTGCAGTATCTGGCTTTGCTGAAAAAAGTATATACCGTCGTTCTTTGCTCACCACACATAAAATCTCTGTTTTGCTGTGCCAGCATGGTGATTTCCATACAAGATGTGGACTAGAATAGTGGTTTTCCCAGATTGCCAAATCAATTACTGCATCTAACAGTACAAATAGTGGACATGAAAGGCATGACACTGGAAAATGTTTTTGAAATCATCGCTGATGGATTAAAATGCAATATTTAGCAAACTATTGTTTTAAAGTTCACGGAGTTCGCTTATGATAGTGGACATCATTTCCGATCATATAAACAAGTAGAGTACTATGTATCAGAGATTCTAGAATTCAAGTAGCTGCAATTCATAAAATTGAGGAGTCGTTCAATATGTGAAAATCGCTGGCCATATGCAACATATAAAGGTACTTCTGGTAAGAAAACCTGAATGATCAATTTTACCCCCAACTTGTTAGTTTCTGTTTTCGATGTGCACATAATAATTATCAGTTGACTCGCAAGTTTCAGTTTACTTGATATGAAGTTCTAAGCATTGCCGGCACAAAAAAGTGACCTAAACTGTGATGGAGAAGATAAACATGGCATTTGCTCCTGAATTTCTTTGACTCGTACCTTAACCTCATGGAAGAACTAATCTGGTCTCTGGTCATGCAGGTAACACCTAGCTAATCATTTTACTTTTTTCAGCGGTGCGTTAATCACCAGAGACACAGACCACAATTCAACTGTCTCATCCAGACATGCTGCCACGGAACTCTGATTCAGGAACGGAAAACGAGTCCTCGGATTTCAGCGCCCAGGAAATCTCTGTCGACCCCTCCAAAGTTACCTCCACCACTTTCTCGGATCAGGACAATGTGTCACTCAACTTGACCCTTTTCTGCCACAGTAATCCTCCTGTCGAGGCAAATGCTGTTGGAGAGAGTAATAACTCTGAAGCCACTGACCGAGCTTCCGTGGTTAAACTCCCACGGGTGTTCTCTTGCAATTACTGTAAGCGCAAGTTTTACAGCTCGCAGGCGCTCGGTGGCCACCAGAATGCTCACAAGAGGGAGAGGACGATGGCCAAGCGGGCCATGCGGATGGGAATGTTCTCCAACAGATATACCAGCTTGGCATCTCTGCCGCTTCACGGTGCTGCGGTTCGTTCCCTTGGCGTTGAAGCTCACTCAGGGGTGCACCACCAGAATGCCGTGGCACCAGAAAGTCGGCCTGCGGTTTTGAGAGGTGGAGCGAAGTTTGAGAAGGGCTATTTGGGAGTGCCGATGTTTGTCGAAGAAGATGAAGTGGTGCCGCTGTTTTGGCCAGGAAGTTTCCGGCAATTGGACACGAGGGATTGCACTAGTGATCCTAGCCCGCCTGTGGATTACATAATCAAAGGTTCGAACGTGAACTTTGTCCAGGTGACGAAATTGCCACGGATTGAGACTTCATCACCCGACCTTACGTTGAAACTTTAGGAACAAATCCCATCTGGTGTTAATTCTTAGTTCTTCTACACCCATTGCTATGCCGTGCCAGATGTTTGTCTTTGTACAGTGAGATCTGATGAGAAATGGCTGCGAGGTACGAAGTTTTGATGTCTCGCCTTCTCTCTTGCCGTCTTTGGCTCTGACGTGCAATGACAATGTTACCAGTTGCTATAATTTAATTTGCAGCACTCTTATTTGCTGTCCTAACTGTAGAAGAGGAGATGATCATTTCTTTAGCCTTTCAGTGATCTTTGACAGGAAATTTCTGTGGCCATGAGTGTCAATGCTGCGAGATTCGCTATTCTGCCTCCTAGAAATGTTACTTGCTTTGAGACTTCATTTGTGTTTTTGTCCTTAAATAGAAGTTTAAGCCTTTTCTAATGCTATTCAAAACAGTACTTTGCTTCATTTATTTATTTCCTGCCCCACTGTTGGGGATCTCCTGAACTAACTTCTCTTTAGTTCCCATTGCTACGTTAGCTTTATCGATGACTTTACACGCGACACATGGATTTCTTCTTTCAAGTCCAAAGACCGCGTGCTAATTTCGGTACTTTCCGACTTTGAAGTTGGTGGAAGTGTGATGTTTTGCTTCGTGAGCCACCAGAAACTGAAGCCCTTTTAACAGTGGTCTCCAAGGAAATGAAGGTATTTTTCTGGAGCAATTTTGTTCCAGGAGGATTTTGTAGTGACTCATTAGTTCCGGACAATAAAAGCATATGGTTTGAGGGATTCTAGAGCACCGGTATAACCATCTAATCAATCAATCAATCACTAAACATCAAATCTTTCTGCATAGAAAAACAAGGATAAATTCGTAACACTTGATGCGACGAGTGTCAGCCACGAGTTGTTCCAACTTCCAAGCACTTAAAATCCCTTGATCAGAAACGATGTAGAACGAATGTACAATTGTGAACACATCTTATATACATGTTGTTATAGCTAGCAGGTATCACCTGGAGGGGGTGAATAGGTGATTTGAGTGATTTTGAAGAATTTAAAACGGAAACGATTTATAATCAGTAAAGTCTGAACAATGTTCAGATTCTGAATGTGCTAGTGTGCAGTGTAAATAATATACTGAGAGATTAGGGATAGAGAGAACTGCACACAAGAAGTTATAGTGGTTTGGCTTAGATCTAACCTACGTCCACTCTCCCACGCTGACAGCCTACTGGCTGGATTCCACTATGTGATCAAAAGGATTACAAGATTTGAGTGAGATCACTTGGTGAATGATAGAACTTTCTATATCACACAATCACTTTTACAGAATGTTCCTCAAAATCTCAGTATTTAGCTCAGAAAACACAAGTAATAGAATCGGAATGCGCTCAGACTTTGGACTTGTTGATTCTCGATGTCGTTCTCTACCTTCTGCTCCTCATTGGTCTCCTTTTATATTTCTCCACTTCCAAACTAGCCGTTAGACAGTTTTCAGAGGATCATCTTCCAATCTTTATCTTGGACAGATTTGTATAAAACGGATTGAGTAGCCGTTGGTTGACAAAATCTGAATCCCACTAAATCTGCTCACCCATACAATCGGAATCTTGGTTCCATAAGCAGAGCTTTATCCATTGTGATATACTTGTCATAATGTTTGATTGTCAATCAATTAGCCTTAGATTGAGTCAATCAAAACTTTCCTTTTATGAAATCCACACCAAATCACTAACTGTTATGTTTTGTTCTGAATAAATTCTGAATCTGAAGAATTTCTGGTTCTTGCTTTACATTCAGAACTTAAGTTAGCGTAGGTCTTCAGTAAAGTCTGAGTCCTTCAAAATTAGATTCTGAAGATCTCTGACATCTTAAGATAAAGTCTGAGTGTCTATTTTAGTAGAGTTTAAACTTCTCGTTCTGAAACTTGTAGAGTCTGAAATTTTCCTTCTAAACCTCGTAAAGTCTGAGCGTTCAGAAAGTTAAATTCTCTTGAAGTATTAAAGCTGCCACTTCCAGAATATATTTACCTGGATCAAAATGCTTCAGAGTACATATCAGATTTACAAGATTAACATGGATAGTTTTGTCAACTTCAAAATCTATTAGGAAATTTCCTCAACACATGTTCCACCGTGTATCACCATTAAGAATTCATAGATTTTCAACTCAAAAGTAGACTCTGTTTAATGCATCACACGGTCACTTTATTAAATAGTGATCAGTTGGTTTACAGTCACATGACCTTCTTGAGCTAGCTCAAATCCGACTTTCGGGAAAAATTTCCTTTTCACCTTCATGGGACACTCTGGGGAAAATACAGACTAAATTTCACTTGACTCAAGTTCAAGAGAGAAGTAATATTAAGGGAAACTGATCATGTTTAATCGTTCATTTAACATTATGAATGTACCAACTCTATTATATCTTCTGTTACAATCAGATTTCAATCTTCATTCTTGGGACATGGCACCACTTTTTTACAGACAGTAATCCAAAAAATGAGAGACACATAGAAGGGACTGTCATCATTCTATTTAACAAGTCAAAGGTTGTTATTGTGCAGGCAAATATGATAAGGGTGAAAATCGTAAAACAGGTGAGAGAGTCTTCAGGGTTAAGAAGAGTAGACCCTTGCTGTACTAATCGAATACTCTTATCAGAGAATTTGAATCAGCTAAGGACTGCCTTTGGTATTTCAATGTTTAACTTTGAAAAAACTGTTGTGGCCAAAGGACAAGAGGCTGCAAATCGTCCGAGTTTCTGGCTGTTAACTTGGACTGCGTGCTTTGCTACTGGGGTCCATACATGGAAACCGACCCACTTTGGTGTTGCTTCAGATCATGCAACTGGCTTTCGATACCATGTGGATCTTACTAGTGTTCACTTATCTTGGAATATAAACTCTACTCATTAAGTCTAGCAAAACTAATTTATTAGGTCATTTTTCGCATCCATCCCATCGACAATGTGAAAAAACAATGTGAAGTTTTCCTTATCATGCTGCGATGAGGTTATATTTTGCTAAACGTTACTTGTTATTTAACTCCGAAAAGTAGTAAAACTCATGTCCACCATCTTACTCTTTTGGAGACGCAAAGTTTCAGGAGTCTTGTTAACTTAATTAATCAACCGGTCGATGACCATTTAAGGTTTTAAGGTTGACATACCAGTTTATAGAGTCAATTCACCATTCAAGGTTTGCTTTTGGCTAACAAGCGACCACGATACCACGCGATCCTTTCGAAACCCGAGAGTATTTTTGGAGGAAATTGGGTTAGGATACAAACAATTAATATTTTAAAGATCCAAGAATGTCTAATAAAGTTCCACGCGATGCCTAGGAATATGCATAATGGAGCTGAGACTCGGAGAGGCACAAAAGAAACAGTGTCAAAAGTTCAAAACAGCAATGTTCCATTCACACGACACACTCAACGAAATGGGAAAGAAGTGGGGGCCAATCCTTGGTGGAAATAGGAGGAGGGATACGCCCTTGACTTGAGAGCATCATCTCGTTTTTTAACTCGTATTCATGTCCTAATTATACTCCTTAATCATGTTAGAGACCAACGGTTTGTGCGGGTACTGCCGATTGAATGAAAAGGAACGCAGTTTCCCTCTCGCAAAGTAGTTAAATGGCGTTTGATGTCGGATCACCAGGAAGCACGCTTCCCCTGTCCCTCGAACTCGCAAGTCGCGTCTCATTCTTGCTCGGTCTTGTGCTCGGTATTGTAAAGGAAGACATGGTTTCTAACCGTGATTTTAAGAAACAATGCAACTTCTTAGTTCGAGTATGTTTATATGCGAACATAATCATCGATGCCCTTTCCAAAGTTCTCAAATCTCACCATGATAGTGGTCCCCTTTGGGTATGCTTTGAACATCTACTTGCTCTTCACCTTCGTCCTTCCAATATCATCTGATCTCACTAATTCTCTAACACTCCGGTTCCTACTTTATCGCTTGTAAGAAAAGAAAAAAAGTGGAAAGAGTCAATCTCATAGGTTCACTCGTTTCCAACCGTGTGAATATTGACCGAAATCTTGCAAGAATGGTTGAAATGATATGTCTCCAGTTTAATTTTCTATTCATGTCATTTTCTTATACCGTTAGCTATGCCCAGTAAATGATTCGATTATGCTGGCAATGGTCAGTGATGGAAGGACTTAAGTTCTTCAGCCAAGAGAGTTCTCTCTTTTGGGCGAAGTTTTCTTTTCTTTTCTTTTCTTTTTTGGTGTTTGCTTTTTGTTAATTGTTGTAATGGCTATATTGTACTACTGTTGTAATGACTGACCATTTCAAGAAGTTGAGTTGATCTAGGCAGCATCCGAGTATGCTTCCTGAGGGGGCTGTGTTGCAAGGGATGTGAAGCGAGTTAAATTCTTGCCATAAAGTATACTTATGATATCCGATTCCCATGAATTCACGGTGCTTTTGGGGAGAATTTTCTGGTTTACCGGAAAGGAAAATTCGGCTGCGTTTTATGGAACCAAAGCCGTAAATGGGTCCTCCTCTGTTTTAGTTCAATTTGATTGAAAATCACTATTCGGATAAAATCAATTTCATCTACTTCTAAAATCAAGATTTTACATTCAAAAATCGAAACAAACACATCGAGCTTGTCCGTTATTTCAAAGAACCCCTAAGTATATCTAAAAACCATCAAGATTTGACATGCCAAACTCCACATAGGTTCAAACATGGCGAAACAAAACTGAAAATCACATAATCCTCCAAAAGAATTGGACTTCTCCTCCAAGTCCCCATCGATTCCGCCCAGCATTTAGCAGATAGTGACAAAAGAGGAAAGCTAAGAGTTTTTGCGGACACGTATCTCCGACACACCTGTTCACGAGGCAATTCAAGGACAATTACAGATCAAGAAAATGGAGGACGACGGATGAGTCTGCAATAATGTGAGTTGACTTTTGGCAGCCAAATCCAAAATTGGAGTCCTTCAACATGTACGAAAAGTCCTTTCTGTGCATATTTTTTTTTTGCTTTTGCAGAATCGGTCCAAGTCGATTCTCGAAGATCCTAGACAGGACGTTCACGTGCTTTCTTTCGGCGAGAACAACCGGTCAAATGGATATTTTATGAGTTGCCCTACGTATGTTTAAGCGAAGACTGTTTGTAAAACTAATAAGTATTGAGCGGTATGACTGATTGTAATAATCATGCATTAAAAAAAATGAGTCGTATGCAATAGCTAACTAATGTCTGCTAGGGGTGATAAGTTGAACCGGACCGGTTCCCGGATGGGCCAAATATTTTTTATTTATCGTTAATGTTTAAGATGTTCTTAAATATCAAGACGTTTTTACAATCAGCGAGTTACATATAATATTGTAGGTTTTACAGAGACTTTTTCAATTTGTGACAAGATTTGGTTAGAATGAGCAAATTACTGTTGTGTTTTGATTTATTCTTGTCATCT